CAGAGGGATAAAATCAAGATCACATGAAGTGTTGATACCACTTTATAATGCCTTGGTAATGCCACACTTGGAATACTGCATTCAGTTTTGGTCGCCACAATGTAAAAAAGATGTGGAGACTCTAGAAAAAGTGCAGAGAAGAAAAACAAAGATGATTAGGGGACTGGAGGCTAAAACATATAAAGAACGGTTGCAGGAACTGGGTATGTCTAGTTTAATGAAAAGAAGGACTAGGGGAGACATGATAGCAGTGTTCCAATATCTCAGGGACTGCCACAAAGAAGAGGGAGTCAAGTCCAAAGCACCTGAGGGCAGGACAAGAAACAATGGGTGGAAACTAATTAAGGAGAGAAGCAACCTAGAACTAAGGAGAAATTTCCTGACAGTTAGAACAATTAATCAGTGGAACAACTTGCCTCCAGAAGTTGGGAATGTTCCAACACTGGAAGTTTTTAAGAAGAGATTGGATAACCACTTGTCTGAAGTGGTGTAGGGTTTCCTGCCTAATCAGGGGGTTGGACTAGAAGACCTCCAAGGTCCCTTCCAACTCTGTTATTCTGTTTTCTGTTTTCTTTCTGCTCTTGTGAGAATATGCAAGAAAACAAGCTCAAAGAGAAAAACCATCACCAACCATAGCTCAGGCATCAGACTTGGTGCTTGCTTCATTATTAAAATAAAACCAGGCACAGATTTAGGTGATTGTATTTATTTCAGGAATTCAGGAATGCAGAAAAGACGACCCATTAGATACAAATTTCCAGAAAATATAGTACTTTTTGAATTCTTGAGGAAGAAATGATTGTCCCTATTCTTCCCTTCTTCCTGTTGTCTGTTTTCTTCCTACTCCTATTTAAATTTCTGGAATCCAGTTATGGAAAAAACACAAATGGAGGAAATATGCAATGGTACCAAGATCAAATGATCAATTATCAATATAAATTGATGGACAACTTTCATTTAGATGAAAATGATTTCTTCAAATTTCCATTGTTTTTAGCAACCAGCAGGCTAAAGTGTAGGCAGAAATCTGCCTTTTCTCAAAATGCTTACATAACTTGCATATTAATATCAGGCAACTGTGTTGCTTTCTTGTGTAGGCTTTGCAAGTTACTCCTGGCTACCTTTCTCTAATTTTCTTTACAGTATGTAGTTATTTCAGGAAGTGTCAGAAAGAATGTAATAGGAAAATGATGGACCAGTTCAATATGTGATTGAGGGGAAATTGGAAAGAACAAGGTCTATGTTGTAAGATATGAAAGCAATAAAAATAAATCCATTTAACTACATTTTGTGAGCTTATCACGTTGCCTTTTCTGATAGCTTTATGAACGTAAGTGAGCAAAACAGATGGTGGCTATAACTTCTCAAGATATGGAGAAATTGTTGCACTTCTGTCTCAGCTTTGTTTTAGGGAAGGAAAACAAGTTTTCTGAAAATCTTGTTACAAGCCTTTTCTGCTTGGACCATCATTAGTTCTGGGCATTCAACAGCTTCCTATGCAGGAGCAGATAATACCATTCTCCTCCTATTGTATATCATCCCTGCTCTTTCCAGGTACAGGTGCAATTCAAACCTGCGGCTTTCTGATTGAAACTATGTTAAGTTCTTCATCAGATGGTTCCCTAGTGCTTCATAGAAAATAGAGGCCCAGCTCTATTTTCCTAGCCTGCCTGTCATACTTTCTCCTCTCCAGCTGGTAATTGTTACCTTGGACAACCATTTCACCTTGGGCCGCTATTTTCTCTATTGAATGGCTATTGCTGATTTTTAAAAAAAATAAAATAATCTTGCATATGATCCAATGGTGTCTCCTTAAATCACTAAAGAATTGCCATATGCTAAATAAATAATTAAAGAATGTTCAACTCTAGAAACTTAAATTCTATTCAGCCTTACATCTCCCGCTTGGGCTGTTTTGATTTTTGCCCAGTCTGGGCGAGGCATGGTCCCTCTGTTTTTTTCTAACCTCTGACATTCCCTTTTTCTTTTTTTGAGTACATCTATGAGCTGCAATGTAAGTACATTATTTCTCTGAAGCGGCATGAAATTCTTCCTTCCTATAACATTTTCCTGAATTTATAGAGGAATGTAGAAATGAATGAACAACCCATTCCTTATTAGTTTGATTATTGTAGCATCAGAGCAATTATTGATAATGTAAAGAAGGGAAAATTGAAATAGGTTTAAGAAACAGGCAGGAGCAGCATTGGAAGCAAGCAATTAAGGCTGTTCTGCTGAATTGCTCTAAGAATCCTTTAAAGTTATTGTAGAAGATGGAATATTTCCTTCACTGCTATATGACTGCAGCTTGGTGCCTTTAATGCTAGAAATATTTGCCAGATATAATCATTTAATTCTCCCTACAGTACTGTAGAGATTTTTGAAAGTTTTCATTTTAGTCTCATCTTTGCTTTTTAAAAAATGGAATATATTATTTTGATTGCTTCAAAATGTGATAATACCCACTCAGCTGAAGACAATTCCAGTTTCAGAGAGTTATTTTATATGGAATTGTGTTTATTATTATTAACAAAAACGACTCTTAAATATTATTTAAAAATAGTTGGCATAAATTCTATAGCTAGTACTGTATGGGTAATAACATTGCATAGATTAAAAGGATTTATTATATATTATAATTTATCCTAATATCTGAATATATGCAGGATATTGGATTTTGTATTTTACAATCTGGCAGCATAATATTTAAATCTTATAGTACCATAAGAAGGGGGAAAATAGCATTTTAGAATATCTCTTTTTAGATAGTAACACCCACAATTATAGAAAAGAGTGATAGCTTTTTAATAGGGTTTTGAATAAAATACCTGACAATCTTTGATATCTATTCACTGAAATAATAGCTATTCTTCAGTCATTTATTCTTTTACTTCAGTCTGTATAATTTCAACCTGCGAGGATTTAAAACTACTAAAGTTCTTGACAATCATTTATTTTATTAGAGATATTTTTTCTAGTTGGAAATGGCTATTGATTCCTCCAAAGAAACTTTTCAGAATATTCATTCTAATCTTTTTCTGCAGAGACTAGTAACTCAATAACATTAATAATAAACACTCCCTTAGGAGTGTTAATGCTTACTCTTTATTATCTTTACTCTATTATCATCTGATCCTCAATGGTAAATTTTGCCATAGACACTTTCTCCAAGTTTATTAGAAAGATTAGAAATATATAATTATGTGTTTTGTAAAAAATATTGTATTGGCAAAAAACCTGTGAACCCCATGTGAATTTTGGATTAACAGTGATTTATAGATTATATTTATACTATAACAATAGCAACAATATTGAGTTTTAAAATAATCTGGAACATAAATAAAGGACTATCAATTAAATTAGAAAAATAAAAAAAGGAAAGTCGACACATTACAAACCTAGACAGCTCTCTAAGGGAATAGTGGTATACCAACCAAGTAAGCACTTTTGCAATAAAAACAATATATGAGCTAGACCTTGTAAATCTACTAAAATATATATTAGTAAAATAAAATTAAGCAATGTAAAATTAAGCTCTTTATTCTTCACTCTGTTATTATCCAATAAATTTCAGTCAAATACTCCAGGGCAACTTTTTTTGGAGACTTCAGGGTGTGTTTGAAACATATAGTAGGGGACACATATAGTATTTATTCCATTTCTAATAACTATTCCTCGGTCTTGAAGATATTATGTTTTCTTATACTCCTTTGCAGTCCCTTAAGTATTTTAGCTTTCTATATTTTGTTTTTAAGTGTAGCTAAGGTAATGAAGCACTTTTTAATGATTAGTGCAGCCCTAATCCTAACTAGCTTTCCTACCTACATTTTCATTATAATGTATTACATTCACATGTTAATTTATTTACTAACATGACTTCCTATACATTAAGTCAGATAATCTGTCCTTTCCTGTACTGTACTGTCCTTTCCAGAAACAGAAAAATATGAAACAAAAGCACAGAAATAAACACCAATAATGAAATAATCCATATTGTTTTAAATTTTGTATATTTATATGTGTTTTAATATGGCTGTACACTGCCCTGAGTCCTTCGGGAGAAGGGCGGTATAGAAATCTAATAAATGAAATGAAATGAAATATAAATGGAATATAAATTGAAATAATCAATATAAACAATCACAGCAAGTTTTACAAGCAATAAAACAAAATTTGGCCACAAAATTTCGAGTTCATCCCTATGTTTGAAGTCTGTCCTCATCAATATGCTGATGTACTGTATATATTGAGTCAGGCTATATAAGCGATAGTGCTGCTGATGGCTTATCCCAATGTCTAAAGCTTTATGGATCTACTGTAAATGGGAAAAAAAAGAGATCATGTGTGTTTTTGGGCCCCTGGCTCTAGAAACCTCCCATCTTTCATTTGGGTTGGTGTTGCAGCACTTTCCAATTAGAAATTAATGTACAATCTTGGTGAAAGAGGCAGTTGGGCTCACAACTGTGCTTAAAAATTTCAACAGTGGCCAAGAAGACTTTTGTGTTGATCAGGGATGAGCAACTATGGCTCCTTTATGACCTGTGGACTTCAACTCCCAGAATTCCTGAGTCAGCCATGTTCAAGCATTTCTTGGAGGTTTTTTCCCTTGCCCCATCAGGCTCTCATTTATTTTTGCCCTTCTTGACATGTTATAGAATATTCAACCCTGAGATATTGGGACCTGCATCTTAAATTTTTTTGGGTAAGATGATTAAAAGTGTCTTATTCTGACAAATTATATGGATGTTGGATCTGGTCACGGTAACATTTCTAGTATTGATTTTTGTGTTTTTTTCTTAACAGTTATTGTATTAGAAAATTCCTAATTTTGATTTTTGGAAGTAGTGTAATATAGAAACACTTGTTATCAATAAAATAAGTGAAAAGTAACCATGGCAATATTCACAAATGCTCATATCAGGGCAGCATTTTTGTTGCTATGTACAATAGCAACCCTTTGTGTTATGTCCAGTTTGGCATTGTTTGCTTGTTAATTGTCATGTGGCTAGTTTTGGAAAGCCCTGTCATTTGAAATTACAATCACAGGACAGAGTCAGGTGCTATTAGCTATGGAAGTGACAGTTGAAAATGCTAGTCTGATCAAGTATGTACAGAAGATGATTTTTGACTGGCTGACTCCATCATCCCACTGCTAACCTGTCTACCCTAACAAGCTCCTGGAATCCAGAACTTCTCTAACATGAGGCTGTGTAAGAGATTCCTTTATCCTAATTCTTTATTCACAGCAAATAGGCTATAAGAAAGATGTAGCCACAACAGAGTCCAGTGCATGGAATGTGGTTAAACACATGACTGAACAATTCAAGCAGCACAGTGTTAATATGCACATAAACTTCTTGCACTTCTGAGTAGACCAGGATTTATGCATTTATCCAGCCTTTTCTGTCTATTTGTTTCTTTGTTAACCCTGTATTTGGTGCTGAGGATATAGAATCTTTTCTCCTTCTCGTGTGATATTTCTGGCTTTTTAGACTTGAGGAAAAGTCATTTTAAAGTAGCACAATGGCAATTAGAATAGCTAGGTGAATACAGGCAACTATATAATAAGGTGAGTAGAGTACGACTTCCTAGAAATTAGGAGAAAAATTAATTTTAGACCTAGTCTTGCCATCTCTGGAAGCAACCGAGCTATCCAATTACCTGTATTTCAACTGAATTTCATGAGAATTGCTCTTATGTAAATCTGTGTAAGATTGTCTATGATTCACTGTATCACTACATAGCACCCTTGGAAAATCTTCAGCCCATAAAGATAGAATTCTCTTGTATCTAAATTTAAACAGCTAAAACATAATCCTGCTAATTTATTTGTAGTTCCATATGTGCATCCATCCATACGGTCATATTACATTCAATATAATAAATACTTAATTTGTATAACAGATTCTTTACATTAGATTCTCACTTTTCTGCATGTGCTAAGTAGCCATTTCTAAGTTTACAAACTGTAGCTAAACTGATAGGATCCCTTCACCACAACCGTTGTTTCTTAAATTAGATTCCTCAACTGCTTCCCTTAAGCGGGTTTTGCGTCTATATTTATTGAGACTAGTGCAATAATCTGGCTTCATAATTTTGTTGCAGTTGGCCCGCTGGCAAGTTTATTCAGTAATAAGGGATGACAGGCAGTGTATTTCTTGGTGCTTATTGTGTGTCTTGGGTGGTGTTGATAAGACACAAGGTCGAAGCCTTGTGGTTTTAATAGCCAAGAAGTACACTCTGGAGATAGAACATCTTATTGGTCTAATGAAGTAGAACTGAAACATGAAGAAAAAGGTTATAGTAAACTGCATATTACATCTTTGCCTTATAAAAGGAAATATTTAAAACAGAAGCAGGATTTTTTGGTTATTTTTTTAAAATACACATTTCAAAATAAACACATTTTCAGCAATTTCATATGTGTGTCAGGGAAATTATATGAGTAAATTATGGTATTGTTGAAATGATGCTGATCAGGTGAAATAAATATTGAATTCTTATGTGTTTTAAAAACTGCATTAAAATAACATTTAGAAAAGGGAATCTTGATAGGTGCAGAAAGAGAGAAACTATTTTGTTGTATCAAAGCCACTGCATATGGCAATGGGTGATGGGTGAACTATCATTTTGAATTGCAAATGACTCATCTACAATTTTCATAGGGAATTCTCAAATAGTTCATTTTTGTCAGTACTTCACTATAGTTCCTCTTTATTGTAACATTAACATTAAAATGTTTTAAAAATAAAATTCCCATCCATATTATTGTACTAGTGTATTTTCACATTTAAAGAATAACACCTCTAATTTTAAAGTCTGTTTACAGTATTATTGATCTGAAGTGCAAAAAGAAATAAGGGCAAGGGAGCTTTCCCCAAATCACAGCAGATTATCTCTAACAACAAAATGTGTTGTTATTTTCAGATTTCATCCAAATCACAAGTGTAATTACCCTACTCTGAACAAAACATTTTAGTTAAAATAATAGATATAATACACAATTCTGACTAATCTAAACATTCTTTCCTAACTGATGTCTCTGGGCATTCAGCATTTGACTAGACCTTTCTAGTCTTCAGCTTTCTTCCTGAGCAGTAGTAACAAAAGTTCCATTATGATTGAGCATAAACTATATTCTTGTAAAAGATGCATCACTTCAGAATAATTATGGACAGGTATTAGCACTGATGTACATTTAAGATGGTTTTTAACTACAGAGAAACCTTTTGTCTGTAAGGATTAAATCTCTGTATCACTGTTTTCTATTAATGTTATATCAGATACTGAAAAGTTGTCTCTGAAATAAAAGATACTTAAGTGATCTAAGAAAGTGCTTTTGGTTGGCGATACAAACGCAGATGGTGCTAAGAAAACTCTTTAATTTTCTATCTCTCTCTATAGAGGGACAAATTAATGTATCTATATATAGCTTTGGAGACTGATAGCTGTAATTTAGCCCCAGCTGCTCAGCACTTCTATTAAAAATGACAAAGTGTCTTCCAGAATTACCTGTTCGCTAATCAATCAATCAATTGCTACTCAGAAAAAGGGAGGTTCCTCTCAGTGGACAGTTGATCCTAGAACAAAACTTCTACTGTTGGGGCATGTGGAAGGCCATTTGGGAAAGGGAACATCTGCAGAACCTTTGGATAGGTATCTATGAGCAAATGTTTTCCTCAAGTGAATAGTATTAGTTATGTATATAATATCCAAGGCAAAGTTAAAATGTGATTTTACATGTTTTTAATCACCTTTGGATTTGCACCAATTTTATCCTGTGGTATTTGCCACACATGGAATTTTTTCAGGTGATGGTCAGTCAGATAAACATAAGTCCATCCCATAATGTGAAGGCAGACCTATACCACCTCACTGACCTGTATTTTATTAATCATGTAAAAAGATGGGAATCCAGTAGATGAAAAATCCTCTGTAGGACCTCCAGATTGGTTTATCCTAAGGGGTGACTGTTAACCAAACAGTTCCAAACACATGAACTAAAGGTAAAGAAGAGAGTAATCTTCAGGTATCTATTCCTTAAATTCAGTAAATGGAAAAATAGTCTTTTCTTACCATCAAACAGATTATATGAAGGAAAACAAAAACATGACAGGCTTCTCACCTAGTAATTGGACTGCCACATCAATAATGAACAATATAAAAATTGATTGTATGATGTAATATTTACTGTTCTTAGTTGCAGAGTTGTTATAAAAGGCTAGGATGCAAAGTAAACTTTAATAACAAAGGTAAATGCTTTCTTAATCCAAGAGCTAAACTGGCTCTAAACACAATAACTATGGACATTGTGCTTTTTATTTAGGGGCTTTTAATATAGTGCTTATACTATATCCAACAGAATGTAGGACTATGTGCTTGGGTGATGGGCTGATAAATGTTAAGCATCCCTATGCATATTAGAATAGTCATTGGTACTATACATATATAGTGCTCAACTTCATCTATCAACTACTTTCTAATGTTATATATACATATATATATATATATATACGCACAGTGACTTATTTCCTTCTATATCTCTCTGACAGTGCAGTTGTTTATTTGCATTAATTTCTCCTAACTTTCATCTCTAAGCATTCCCTCTCTCTGACTTATCCACTGGTACCAACTATTCCATATTTTAAAGTATTTTGAATCTTCCTTATCCTGTAATTTTAGGGTTAATTTATCCATCTCTGCGCATACATAGATTTTCTGTATTACTTCCTGATCAGTTGGCGAACGGTCTATTTTCCAGAGTTGTGCCAACGCTAATCTTGCCGCTGTTATAATGTGGAGTATTAGGTATTTTATGTCCTTCCTAATATTCTTATTGATCATGCCGAGTAAAAAGACTTCAGGTGTTAATTCAATTTCATGATTTGTTATCTCTAATATCCATGTTTTTATTTTGTTCCAATATTTTTTGATTTTTGGGCAAAGCCACCAAGCATGGTAAAAAGTTCCCTGCGCTTTTTTACATTTCCAGCAAGCCGGGTTCACATTTGGATACATTTTTGCTAACCTTGCGGGTGGCAGATACCATCGGTACCACATTTTATAATGATTTTCTTTGTATGATACCGATTTTGTCATTCTATAGTTATCTTCCCATGCTCTTTCCCAATCTTCTAATTGTATATTATGCCCTATGTTCCTCGCCCAGGCTATCATCTGCCCTTTGACCAACTCTTCTGCCAAATCGAATTCGAGTAAATATTTGTAGATTTTTGAAATTAATTTCCCTTCTTTTGATTCTAATAGTTTGTCTAATCGATTTTGTTTTAAATCTATTCCTTCTTCCTCTTGGTCTTTTCTGTATCTTACTTTTATTTGCGAGTAGGGCCACCAGTCTATTCCTATTCCTTGTTCTTTGAGCTCTTCCCTAGTTTTCAATTTCCCCTGAACATCTACTATTTCTCTGTATCTTAGAATCTTTTGTTTTGATAATATGTTGGGGTGAGTTATTGCTTCTATAGTCGATAGCCAGCCGGGAATTTTCATGTAGTGTTTTTGTTTAATTTGTAGCCATGTGTTAATTAAAGATCTTCTAATTGTATGGTTATTAAAATGTTTATATATTTTATTTCCTGAACTCCATATAAAGGCGTGCCATCCCTTCATTAAATCATGCCCTTCTAAATTTAGCAATCTTTGATTATCTAAGGTTATCCAATCTTTAATCCATAATAAACTGGCGGCCTTGTAATATTTATCCCATGCCGGGAGTCCAAATCCACCTCTACTTTTATCATCTTGTAGTATATTCAATTTTATTCTTGATTTCTTCCCTTCCCACACGAATTTTTTAGTTATTTTATCCAAATTATCAAAGAATATGTATATGTACTTGTAATTTGTGTGTTTGATTAAGAAAAACTTGTTCAGTTTTTCTTATAATTGTTTTAAATGTCCTTTTTTTAAATACGAATAAAGTTTGTTTAAAAAAAAAAAAGAATAGTCATTGGTTAGTTTGACAGTCAAGGCCATTACCTGCAAATGAACCATGATTACAAAGAAGGGAATAATAGAATTGGACAGACTTCAAACATGACCAGGGAGGGATTTTTCCAACCTCATACAAATGTAAGAATTGCATTGTCTGCTATCTATTAAATGAGAATAACCTTTCAGATTTAGAGAACAAACCAAACTGCAGGATAAGAGAACAGGAATAGGAGAAGAAATACAAGATACATCAATACAC